AGGCATCGTCCTCATCATCATCGACAGCATGACATCAGTGTTCAACACCTATGCTTCACTGCTGTACAAACATGATTTATTTGGAAGCCTTATTGTGAAGAAAAGAATAAAGGTGGACGGGGGAGGGACTTAGCGCTAGCGTAACACAATCATTCCGAAGTGCCTACACCTCCAGACATTCACTTGGGCAATCTGGATAGAAACTGACGACAAGAATGCCACTGACATCGGTTGGCTGCCATATCTTGTAGCGTCTCCAATCTGGCGCAGTGGGGATCGCGAGGCCACCATCCTAGAAGGCGAGTAGCGCCGACAGCACCCAAGCGTTTCGTGATCTCCTTCATACTCCTCTGCCAAGTCAAGGGTTGGCCACCTCGCTGTTTACGCCACTCCGAATTGGGCATGGAAAACAGCACTCTCTTCGGCAAACGATGGTTTGGTATACGCAACACATCCCAACCAACGCAGCTTCTGGGACTTGACACATTCTTCAATCGAAGTACCCGTTACACAACCGAAAATGCGCTTTCTAACTGTCTCGTTAAGGATTCGCCGACACCAACCCACATGAGCTTTGGTTCTGAAACAACGATTGTCGAACACCTGAAGACTTCTCTCGAATAGGCTCGAATAGGCTAAGTCTTGCATCCATACAACAAAACAACCCGTACTGTAGCTCGATACACACATCCCTTCAGATTCAGGGATAAACCATTCTGACGCCATAGGTATCTGAAATTAGCAAACGCTGCCCGAAAGTCTTAGGCTATTTGACCCGTGTGCCTGAAATAAATACTATAATTCAAGTTGGTCTTTTCATAAACGAGTCGGAAGAGAAGGAAGCTATGACGAACAGCAACAAATCTTTGGATGCCGAGTGCGCAGACATAATCATAATTTTTCTTCGAATACTGATACAAACAAGTAATTTTGGCAGCTTGGTTCCAATTCCCCCCTCCTTCGAATTTTGAAGAACTGATTGTCCAAAAATTCGTTACCCAACACAGCATCAACCACAAATTGGAGACCGTATTAGTCGTTTATTTGTCGCCTGCAATTGGTGATTGGCGGTTATCACCAGTGTGGCACCTTCAGCTGTCATGATCGACAATGGTGCTTGGAGATCTCCGTTCGTGTGCATGTGTACGCACTGGTTACACGATGCTCGGTCACACAGACGGCGATCTGTCACCGGAGATTTGTAAAATGACAACATATCGAGATGTAGTAGGCACCTGTGGTTTACGAAACAGGAGAAGGTGTTTCGTCAACCGCAGTGACCAGCCGGTTTTTAGTTATTTCTGAGATTCCGACTAATCCGGAGGAAGAGAGGAAGAAACTGAATGCGTCTTTTGGCGTGATACTAGACTGTCCGAAGATTTCAAATGACGGCCCGTAACATCACAAGGGACCTGCGTTATCTGCGCACGTTGGAAAAACTTTAAAACAAGTGAACATGTTTCGCTTAAGTTATATGGATCCGATACCTTTTACGTAAGCAGTTACTGGGGTGTCGTTTGACTTCCAAACGAAAAGATCAGCAGATATGTCCACTACGAACCAGGAGAGTAGTAGTATAACCGGATAAGGACAGAGGAGAACTGGTCAAATTAGGATGGTACGGGCCAACCAAGTGTTACCTCGAGGCACGTCTACCCAACTAGGTGTTAAGGAGAACCATTCACAGTTTTCGCCCTGAAACGGGATCGACACCTTGTTCAACTAACTCAAGGCAACAGTGCGTTGAAACGGAAAAAAGTGGGTATAAGGAAATCGCTACCAGCGGTGGACCATACATGTTTCTAGGACTAATATTAGCTAAAGTTGTGTGAAATCTAGGACTAATATTAGCTAAAGATTGTGTGAAAACATCAGTTTGGGCGGAAATTTCGTGATATATTGTAGGGTATGTGATTAGGAAAAACGCATGAGACTCTCCGGAGAAAACGGAGTTTATTCGGATTCATTTCACTAGCAGTTCGAAGGACGGTGCATGTGGATTGTCATACCCAGTGCTTTTTTAGCGAGAGAATTTTCGGGGAAATAAGATTTCCATGGGGACATGCAGCTGCGTAAACTGAGGATCACAGCGAGTAAGACAGACACTTAAGAAGTCCTTCTTGAGGTGTAAACTAGAAAGAGGTCAGGGGTTCTTTTAAAAGTCAAGTTCTGCTTAAGTTGGATGTAAGGAGGCTTAGCAGTGCAGCCATGTGAACCAAAGTGAAGAGCTGTGTGCGCAGAGTGCCCTTGAGCCAGGATCCGAGTAAAAGTTCCGCGAGGAGGGAATTCATGACCTCCAAGAAGGGTTCCTCACCCGGCGTCGTTTTGGTGGGAGACGAAGCATCGAGAACACAGATCAGGCCATTATCTCCACTCTCTTGAAGCACCTACGGCAGGATGGTGCGTCTAGCTGAGGGGTACCTTACTGAGGAGAAATCACGTGAATGACGCCAAATTTCAGTGCACACAAAAATGGTGTACAAGTAGATAATGTCCTTCAACTGCGTTTTTCAGCTAAGTTCGTGTCAAACATCCAATATGGACGTGGCAAACAGTGTAATTTTGTTTGAAAGAGATAGGAAATTTTATTAGGTGATAGAAAAGAAAGAAATTTGGTCAAAGGTCAGTCAGAACTAGTCTCAGTAGGATTGATGTTATTATCAAACTGCGTTTTCGTGTGGGATAATTCTAGTACAAACACGGGAATTTGTCAGACGCTATCATCTGTTCGAGATATCTGAGTAACAAACTACAACATGTGTTTAGGCAAGCTTTGATGAGACTTTTAATTCACCATGGAACACGTAAATTCCGAGACGTTACATACTACTCACAAGGTTGCTGAAAACAACCCATGACTGCTATAAATGGGACGTGCAACTGAGTTCAGTTGAATTTCGCACACAAAAAAACAAGCTAGCATTCGAATGAGATTGTAAGGCGAATTCCATTCCTTCCAAGCGGGGCAAAAGGTTGGCTGCTATAAATGGGACGTGCAACTGAGTTCAGTTGAATTTCGCACACAAAAACACAAGCTAGCATTCGAATGAGATTGTTAGGCGAATTCCATTCCTTCCAAGCGGGACAAAAGGTTGACGAAAACTCGGAAACTGTGCCTGCCTGATAAGCCCCAAGAAGGACGAAATCGGTCACAGGCCCTCAAAGAGTTTTCATCAACCTATACAACATAATGTGATATTTTGAATATCTTAGCAACTGAGACACGAAACAAATTCCGCTGAAGAAGACTGCCACAAACGAGAGGTACAACTTGACTCAGTTGAGTCTCCTGACTGGGAAGCCCTACCTGTTCAGAAATGAAAATTCAGATACGTTGATGGAGGGGTGGTAACACGCTCGCCTCGCATGTCAGATATCCGGGGTTCAAATCCCGGCACGGCCATTGGATATGCACTGCTGATGAGCTCTAATAAGAGCGAAGCTCGAGTCCAATGCTCCCCTTTGGTGATTACGCAAGAGAACAGGAGGACGACCGTTCAAACGAGAGTGGTGTGAATAGGAACAAAACTAAACTAGCATGCACATGAGAGTATCTGACGAGGTAGTTTTCACATTTATCGTACCAAACTAGGATTTTAAACAGAACGTTTGAATCGAGACATTCTCGGTGGGGATATGATAACCGCGTCGAAGTTGCTGCAAGCCGAAAAAATCTCAGTGCTTTCAGTCCTTCTGAACCAAAGAATGCATATGCAGACTATCACAAAAGACATTTAAAAGGCCTTTTTATTTGGGTTGAATTTTCTTCAGTTTGCCCACAGATCCATGTTACCCTGACAACCGTGAACAAC